TTCTGATGAGAAATCAGCTGTTAATCTTACTGTGGTTACATTGTACATGAAGTCATTTTTCTCTTGCTTTCAAAACTTCAATTTTTTGTATTGGTTTGTCTCTGAGTAGTCTAGGAGTGAATCTTTCTGTGTTTATTCTCACTGGAGATTATTGCACTTCTTATATGTATAGAATAATATTTTTCATTAAATTTGCAAAATTGTTGGCCATTATTACTTCGAGTTTTTTTAAAATTTTATTCCTGTTTTCTGAGATTCTCATTATGCATATGTAGGTGCACTAGATGGTGTCCCAAAGATCTCTGAGGTTTTGTTAAATTTTCTTGTTCTTTTTTCCCCATTTTTCACACTGGAGGATTTATATTGTTCTATCTTGTTTGCTGATTTTCTCTTCTGTCAGCTCAAATCTGTTCTGGAGCCCCTCTAATAAATTTTTCATTTCAGCCACTCTATTTTTAATCTCCAGGATTTCCATTTGGTCCTTTTAAAATAATTTATATCTCTTTTATTTATAGTCTTATTTAAAAAATTAAACAGCTTTATTGAGGCATAACTGATATACAAAGAACTTCACATATTTAATGTGTACAATTTGATAAATTCAAACATATGAAAACACTGTGATACCATCACTGCAATCAAGGTAACAGACATTGATATTCTTATTTGATGAGTTATTTTAATTCTTTAAACATACTTTCCTTTAGTTCTTTGAAGTCTTTCTTTGTGAAGTTCATTTGCCTTCCCCTCCCCCCAAAAGACTGCTTTTTTCAAGTGTATGCATCACTTTTTCCTGCTTGTTGCATGTCATATTTTGTTAGAAATTGGATATTTTGGATAATATATTGTAGCAACTTTGGATTCTGATTGCCTTATTTTCCCTCAGGAGTGGTTGTTACTGCTATCTTTTGTGACTTGCCTATACTAATTTGTGGAGCCTGTGTATCTTGTAGTGGGTGGAAGCTGACTTCCCCCCTTTGTCAATAAATCAGTGTAGCTTAAAGAATACAGAATATTCAAAGTTTAGGCCATTTGTAAATCTGCTCCAGCTTTTATTCTCTATTTGTAAGGCCTCTTATTCAGCCAGGTGTGATTAGCTTGCTAGGACCCTCTCCAGTCTCCTTAATGCATGAATAGCCCTGTGCACATCTATAATCTTCCAGAACACAGGGATAAGTAGGATATCATCAAGGTACACTTCGGCTTTCTTGTTCTCAGAATCTCCCTTTAAGTTTCTGGTTGGTTGCCAGTCAACTTCTCGACACAACAGATATTATGATCTCAGTTAGACTAGGTTTATTTGGCTTTTCCAGGTTGTTTGCCACTGAGATTGCTATTGTTATAATAACATCCCTGGTCGTGGAATTTTCTGTGCTCTGCTCCAAATAAAATCAGCCCTCTCCAGTAGTGAGGTTGCTGCTCCTCACAGTCTGACTCACCTAGGTAGACTTCTGCAAAACTGAACCTGGAGAGTGGTGGTGGGAAAAACTGGAGCAGCACCAAGCTAAAATGTCACAGACACCCACTGTTCTTATTGAGGTTTAGTAAATTTTCTTTTTCATTATTAGTTACCTTTTCTATTTTTGATATCTTGACACTTTATTTTATTTTTACAAATTGCTTTCTAGTTTTTATAAAACAAACACAAAAATCATCGTGCCAGTCTCTATGCAGTCTCCACATTAGGTCCTTGGTTGTGAGGGTGTTTTCCAGCTAGTCTTCAGTTGATTATTCAGTATGGTTTTTCTATATATTAGCTGTGATTCCAGTTTGGTCCTGGGAGAGTGTCAGTGTAGCTTCCACTTAATCTGCTGCCATCTTGAAATCCTGAAACATCGATGTGAGAGAGACACATCGATTGGCTGCATCCCGCACGGGACCTGACCAGAGGACAGAGGAGCTAACCCACAACCCAGGTATGTGCCCTTGACTGGCAATCATACCGGGGACCATTCAATTCCCGGGCAACCCTCTAACCACTGAACCACACCGGCCAGAGCTAGTAAATTTTCTTAAACATTTCTCATTTTGTTGTATTCTTTGGTAAATGTCTGGAATATTTAAAAGATTGTTTATTGACAATTCTGTCCAGTTTTATCATTTCTTTTTAGGGACATATAGCAAATCCTCACTCAGCAATTCTGGAAGCCCCACCCATTCCCTATTCTTGAAAAACTTTTTCCATGTAATCTCACTGCTACTTTTGCACCTCAGTTAGTCCTTGCTTAGCATGCTTTTTCCTTACTATGCTATGTAAAATAATATTTGCCTTATCTCCCTACTCTGTTTTTATTTTACTTTGTAACACTTTTCCATTTCCCAAAATTATTGTGTGTGTGTGTCTTTATTGTCTTTCTCCCCCACTGGAATTCAAGCTCCCTGAGGATAGGGATGCTATCTTGGTAACTGCTGCATCCTTAGTGGCTATTATAATGCCTAGTATATAGTAGGTCCTCCATAAATATTTGTGAAAGAATAAAAAAATGGTAGATATCTAGTCTTTTTAAGCTGTGAGAAAATGATCATTCTCATAAGCTTTTGTGGTACCGTGAATTATTACAGCAATTTGGGATGTTACGAAACCTGCAATTACAGCTGACACTTGAACAACACAAGTTTGAACTGCAGATACTTTTCAATATATTGGAAAATTTTTGGAGATTTGTGACAATTTGAAAAACTCGCAGATGAACTGCATAGAGTAGAAATATTGAAAAAAATTAAGAAAAAGTTAGGTATGCCATGAATGCATAAAATATATGTAGATACTAGTCTACATATATTTACTACCATAAAATATACACAAGTCTATTATAATAAATTTAACTGTATCATAACTTATGCAAACAAACACTGATTGTACACGACACCATTCACAGTTGAGAGAAATGTAAACCAATATAAAGATGCCATATTAAATCCTAACTGCATAAAATTAATTGTAGTACTGTACTACTGTGATAACTTTGTAGCCACCTCCTGAGTCATTGCGGTGAGCCCAAGTGTTGTATCTGCTTAAATGTCATGTGACACTAATCATCTCCATGTGAGTTTGTCTCTCCAGTGAATTGAGCATTGTAGTAAACAGTGACCTTTTGCAGTCCTCACATATTTTTCATCCCATTTGGTATGACACTGGAAACTATGAATAGCACCACAGGACCCATGCAAAGTGCTGCTAGTGATGCTGGAAACACTCCTAAGAAGCAGAGAAAAGCCATGATGTTCCAAGACAAAGTTGAATTGCTTGATATCTACCCTAGACTGAGGTCTGCAGCCCACCATTTCATGATAAACGAATCCAGTGTAAGAACTACTGTAAGAAAAGAAACGGAAATTCATGAAGCTGCCACTGCAGCTATGCCAGAGGCATGAAAACCTTGCACTTTTTGCAAAATTCCTTTTTATTTTGTATTGAAAATGCAGCTTTTATGTGGGTGCGTGATTGTTCTAAGAAATGCATCCTATAGGCTCTAATGTGATTCAAGAAAAAGCAAAATCATCATATGACAGCTTAAAGCAAAAGGAAGGTGAAGGACCTAAAGCTGGAGAATTTAATGCCAGCAAAGGATGGTTTGACAATTTTAGAAAGAGGTTTGGCTAAAAAATGTAAAGGTAACAGGAGAAGAAGTTTCTGTTCAACTAGAGGAAGATGAATTCTCAGAAGCCATTAAGAATATCATTGCGTTGGCATGGTTGGGCCTGGGGAGTATTATGCTAATTGAAATAAGCCAGTCAGAGAAAGACAAATACTATATGATCTCACATCTGGAATCTAATGAACAAAATAAATTGACGGACAAAATAAAACCAGAGGCATGGATACAGGGAACAGACTGACAGCTGTCAGAGGGGAGGGGGGTAGAAGGGACTGGATGAAAGAAGGTGAAGAGATTAGCCAAAGAACATATATGCATAACCCATGGACACAGACAACTGTGTGGTGATGGCAGAGGGAGGGGTGCGGTGGCTGGGTTGGGGAGGTAAGGGGGGCATAAAATGGGGACATCTATAGTAGTGTCAACAATAAATTTAATAATGTCAACAATAAAAATAAAGTTAAAAAAAAGAAAATCTTTGAAGAGAAAGGATACCTGCCTGAACAGGTTTTTAATGCAGATAAAAGTGTCCTATTCTGTTAAAAAAAAAAAAAAAGCCACAGAGGACATTATTAGTAAGGAAGAGAAGCAACCCCCGGGACTTAAGGCAGGAAGAAATAGGCTAACTCTACTGTTTTGCGCCAATGCAGTTGGGTTTATGATCAGGACCACCCTTGTCTATAAAGCTGTTCAACCCGAGCCTCGAAGGGCAAAGATGAACACCAGCAGATAGTCTTTTGGTTGTAGGACAAGAAGGCCTGGACAAGGAGAACCCCTTTCCTGGATTGGTTCCTCAATGCTTTTCCCTGCAGTCAGGAAGTACCTAGCCAGCAAGCAACTGCCTTTTGATATTGGACAATGTCCCTTGCCTACCATGAGTTCAACATCAAAAGTGTAGAAGTGGTCTACACACCCCCAGACACGACATCTCTGATTCAGCCTCTCAATCAAGGGGTCATAAGGACTTTTAAGGATCACCATTACACACGGTAACTTGGTACTCTATGGAAGAGACTGTCAGTGCTATGGAAGAGACCCTGATAGAGAGAGCATAATGGAAGTCTGGAATGATTTCAACATTGTCATTGCAGAATTACATTAGTGTTCAGTATGCCCCTCTCTCCGCAATTAGAGAAGCTGTATATCAGCCTATCATCACAGGTAAATAAATGGTTTTTTAAAAAAGTGTAACAATGTTTCCTACACTGTGTTATGAATATGACTGTAACACTGTATGCTGTAAAGATGTGAATGATTTATTTGTGACTAGGCTCAGCTACTGTGAGGCAATCATATCAATTAGACTAGGCTACCATAAAGCAATCATATTGCTGTTTTTCATTATCAATGCATGACTCGCTAAACTTATAAATAAGTATGAATTTTTTTCACATTATCTTTTCACTTTTGACGTCCAGTGTCAGTAATATGCATAACCTATAAGACAATATTGATGCAGGTGCTCACAGACAGACAATTCATCTTGTAAATAGATGACATAAATCTACAGTATCAATAAATATGGTACTCTAAATGTATTTCACTTCCTTATGATTTCTTTAATAACATTTTCTTTTCTCTAGCTTACTTTATTGTAAGAATACAGTATATTATATATAATATACAAAATATGTGTTAACTGGCAGTTTATGTTATTGATAAGGCTTCTGGTCAACAGTAGGCTATTAGTAGTTAGGTTTTGGAGGAGCCAAAAGTTACACAGGTTTTCAACTGTATGGGGGGGGTCAGTGCCCCCAACCCCTCTGTTGTTCAGTGGTTAACTGTACACTTCTAGAAATAAACTACCTATAGAAATACTAGTCTTATATGCAAAGATATATGTACTGAGATGTTCACTGCATCATTTACAATTTAAAAAATTAGAAAAAGCTAAATATGCAGCAATAAAGGAATGTTAAAATAAATTCTAAGGAAAAGTATGACACTATTAAAAGGCACTGTTTAGATATGCTTTATAATAAAAAGATTTTTATGACAGTTGAGAAATACGCATGCGACCAAACAGTACCAGTATGATCACACAATTAGTAACAAAGAAAACTGTGTGTGTGTGTGTGTGTTTGCGTTATCTTTTTGTGTAGATTTGCATATGTGGGTATGATGAAGATTATGTTAAGAGGACAGTAACTTTTTATTGTATAATTTTTTAACTTACAGTTTTATTAATCCTTTTGTAATTTTATAAACAATAAAGAAAAAATTAAAAAGTAAAGGAAATACTATCACATATTCCATTTTTATTCATTTGAAACACATTGTATCAGCACACTTTATCTCCTCATAGGATGTGCTTACTAAAATCAACATCTCTCGGCATGCCAGAAGCAGATAAACACTTACCAAATCAATAAAGATGAAGATGGTGTATGTAAGTGCAATAGCAAGTTCCAGGTTGTTGGAGGCCAGTAAAATACGTGAAGCTTCCCTTCCAAGTTTCTGAAACCAGAAAGTAGGGAGAAACCTTGCGTTAGTATTTTTAGTAAGAGCATCTATGTTCAAGAAGGGGCTCCCAGTATGAGGGGAAATAGGAAAAATAAATAAGCCTCTTTTACCATCAGACTTCCCTAGGCATTTCTACTCCTTTGCTCTGTTCCACTTCTCCTAGCTTTCATCCCCCCAATTCACTGTTTACACTACAGCTTTCAATCTTGCCCTCTTATCACTCACCTTCTTGTCACACTTCCTACAACTTCATTTTGATTAATCTCTTCACTACAGAGCCCCTGGCACAGCTCACTATCCAAACTCTTCAGTGCATAAGATTTGACTTTCCTGTCTCCAATGATAAGATGGCTACCAAGAGATTTTATCAAGCAATCCTCAGGTATTAAAACAGTTATTATTAATGACCAACTTACTTAAATTTACACGTGTGGTAAGGAAAATCACAGAGAAATTGCTGCAGTGTCATATGCAAGGATGAGTAAATTAGAAGTTGAAAGAACACTATTTCACTGGGAAGGATAAGGTGACTGATTGCTGGGACAGATAAAGCAGGCTCCTGCTGCTGCTGCTGCCTCAAAGACATTTCAACTACATATCAGGATGAATGATAGTGGTGCTCATCCTGAAAATAAATGTAGTTTTTGTACTGGCTATGGAAAGACAATGATACTCAGACCTAGAAAGAATATCATCATAATTTTCCCTTCTTCAATTCCTACTCTCCTTTTTTATTGGGTTTATTTACCACCTTTTATATGAAATAAACTACAAAGTGGTAGGAATTAGATGACAAGAATGAAATGACAAAATATTGCTGTTTTTCTCAAGGTTTATATTTAAGTAAAAAAGACAGAAAGATAATATAAGGTAACATATGATAAAGTTAAATATGTCAAAGTGAATAAAGACTTGCTCGACAGTTGTCGGGGACAGGAGGTTCACCCTGTCCCCGCATAGGAGGGTTCCATAAAGAGGCAGGACCTCTGAAATCAGAGTAGGACTGGGGAAGCAACATTCTAGGCAGCTTTAATTTGCTTGTTTCTTTGTAAACTTTCTTGTTCCAGAAAGAATAGCATAAATTAAAAGTATGACAAAATCATTAAAAAAATGAAGACATAAAACAGAACCAACAATAAAGCCCAAATACACCTCACATGATCTCTAGTGTGAGAATGTGAGCAAAAAACTGAATGCAAGAATGAACATGACATGTTGAGAAAATGATAAAAAAGTTTAAGTCAGTATAGTGTTCCTTCACCTATGATATTAGCAGCAGGGCGGAGAAAAGGGTTTGAAATTGCAAGATAAAAAATTCTGGTTTTATTTGGTTAACAGAAACACAATTGTAACATTTTAACCGGAAAGTTCTTGTGACCTCTTATCCAGCAAGATTGCAAAAAATCATTTTTCCCATACTTCTCAAATTTCCGTTACTGCTATTCTCAAACCCTTTCCCTGAAAGTGGCAAGATGTCTGCCAGAGAAGTTCCAGTAGGAAAACAGCAGACAGAGTGACCTGGTGCTTGACACATGACTTAAGCTTCTGAATCCAGCTTAAATCAGTAAGTGCCCCTTTTTTGCTTAAGTCACTTTGGGTTTTATTTCCTGTCACTTACAACCAAGAGAGTCCTAATTAATAACAACTTAAGTCACAAACGCTATTTTGGTAATTGGGAAGACAGTGGAAAGGCGAGGGTGAAGGGTTGCAGAAAAGTCTGTGGAGTCCAGAAGACTGAAATAAGGGAGTTTTGCCGTGCAGTATTTTTGAGGAGGTCAATGTTTTCCATTTCGTATCTGTTGAGTTTGAGATGATGATGCCAGAAGCATATCCAAGTAGAAAAGTCAATGTGGCCATTAGAACAACAGGACTGGAGTTTGGGAGACAAAGTAGTTAACTAACAGGTTGCGTTAGCCTTTTCCTTCCCTATTTACACACAAAGAAACCAAGGAACAAGAAAGTTAAGAAGCCCGTCCAAGGGGTCACACACAAGTGAGGACTGAATGAAGGTGGTCTGGTTCTGCATTATACTATTGGCCGTTTTGCTACATGAGGAGTGTACTTCAAGGTGTGCATTTCGGGCCTGGCCGAACCTACCTGCGAACACCGATAACCTGATGGGTTTGTGGATTTAGCCAAGCCACTTGCTTATGTTAGAGTGGCTGGCATATGCAAAATCTTGTAAAATGCTGGTTGCTTTAGTAAATGTAGGTATATAATTCTATAGTGCTGCTAAGAAAAGATGACGGGTTAGAGATGTGGGTCTAACATATAAGTTCTTTTTGTGCAACTAATCAGCACAAATAAGGCTGAAACGTGTTTGGGAGATTGTGAAACTGACCATTAACACTGAACTCAGGTCAGATAAATAGTCTGCAATGGTTTATAATACTGCTTGCAAAAGGCAGGTCCTGGCAATTCTGCCATATTATCTTAATCGATGATTGCAAGCTTAGGAGTAAGAGTGATGAGCTGAAATAACTGCACTTAATCCCCCTGCCTAGCTCTGGCCCCAAAATTAGAATTGAAGATTTCTAGATTGAACTTCCGGGGCAAGTAGAGAATTTTCTTACAATTTATAGGGAAAATCTGATGCACGCTTATTTAAATCAATACATCACTCATTACACACAATCTATTCTGGGGTATCACTGCATCTTCTCTCATAAGCCCACTGTCCTCTAGGCTTCTGTTCTCCACACTGGATTCCTTCCACTGATGGTCGTATGGAGTGGGGGTGAGGGGGAGCAGGCAGTTGACCCCTTGCCTACAATGACTCTTTTACTCATTAGAATTATATTTGGAATAATACTTTCAAACTGTTCTTTGTTTTGCTCTGTTGTCTAGTAACAAAGAGGAGCTCCAACCCAATCTGTTATAATTTTAAACAGAAGATTTTTCTAAGTATTAGAGCACTAATAATCTGTGATTCTGAATTTAAAGTCAACACAATTGAAAAAATCTATTGTGATATCAGTAAAGCTATTCACATTTATTTAGTATTTAAGGACTTAAAGCAAAATTCACGTGAGATACAAAAATAGGCTGTGCATGAAATGCTGTATGTTAAACCAGAAATTAATAGGTGTCTGCAATTCCAACTATATGCATCAATAGCCGAATTCTGTTTTTGATTATGGGAATGGTTTTAAAGTCTAGGAGTATACTTTTCTTCAAGGGAATCATCAGTGATCCCATGCCTAATGCAGATACACTTACCACTGAGGTGTTCAAACTAGGGACTTGCTTTATTTTAACTGGGCATGTTAAGAACTCAAATATCCTAGTAATATTTACCTAAAAAAATTATGTTAGAATTATTTTTAAGTTAGAACTTTCCATCAAGAGCTTACTATTGAATCAGAGAATTTGTGAGGACCAATAAAAACCTTATTTTACCCCCTAAGGCTTCAAAACCTCTGAAAAGAATCATTTTGAAATTGAGACGTTCGTATAGACCTGGTCACTTACCGCTTGTCCATAGTTCCTATATGACACAGAATCAAAATTAGACAACTCATGTAATATCATACATATTGCTGTAAATGCAGTAATTATGCAGATGATGTTCAAGATCAAAGTATATGTAACCTGAAAAGATATAGGGAAAATTTATTATAATCTTGGTTAGACAATACGCTGAAAAAAATCACTATGATCTAGTTTCTGAAGCTTTAGAAGTGTTGGTATGCTTGCCATTAGGGTAAAATATTTCCCTGGTTAACATGAAACCCAGTTAATCTGGAGAAAACACTAAAATATTATCACATCAATAAGCATAAATCTTTCATTTGGGCTAAAAAATGTTGTATTTTATAATCTTCTGAGTAAGCTGAAAGCCTTATAACATGTGATTCAAACAAAAGGAGTTCCGTTGCAAAAAGAAACAAGAAGAGATAGATGGAAAAGGACTGCTTGTAGAAATAAGCCAAATAGAAGTCATTGATTTTTAATGCTGGGTTTTAATTCTATAGGGAAAATCCATCAATTATGTACAGTTTTCTAACTGTACAATTAGAAAATACGATGAATTAATTTCTAAGGTATTGTTTAGCTCTGAGATTTTCTCTTCCCAATATCTTTCCACCTATACCATAGATGGATCTTTATTCTGGACATATCCTTTATTTTGTTATAAGATACAATCCTTTTCCCAAACTGGATAGTTAGGAAAACAGAGTTTTTTAGCAGTATTATGTCTGTATATAAAGGCATTAGGTCCGATTACATTTTTCTAATAGTAAAGTTTTATACACTCTTAAAAAAAGGTACAATACCAAACCAAAAGAGCCCAATATTTAAATTTGGAAACCTATACATAATTATGTTTCCAACTAATAAAGCATCTTAGTCTACACTGAAGTATGTGCTTTTGGATTTTCATTTAATTCCTACATTTATTTTACAGGTAGGGTAGACTCCTTCATTGTTTAGATACTCACTATCTTTCCTTAAAACCTATTTAGCTTTGTGACACGTGATTTATAGGATACCTTAAACATTTCAGCTTACCAGGCGAGGATTTGGATTCTTTGCTACTTTTATTAAGAAGGCTCCTGAAATGACAAACTGGATATAAAAACATATATTTATAAATATTCATTAATAATGCTCATCAACTTAAAATGTATTTTTAACAAGACCCTCTTCTAAGTCAATTATTCTTATAATACTAGGAGTAACAAAATATAAAAAAGTTTTAGTTGAAGGAGTCAGGACATACAATAATGAATTGAAAGGCAATAGTAGGGTCACTAATAACAGAAATATAAAGGACAGTAGGCAGAATTTGGGTTGTGGTATATGCCAAAAATGGCATAAGCAGTCCTGAATCAGGGATCAAATTTGCTTATATCTGTGCATGCTTTCTGAACTCATTCAATTATTACTTCTAATGTTGTCCTTCCTCAAGAAATGATGCCACTGATTATAAGTAGTGTGTACATATCCAGGTATGACAAAAGTGGCCCATGAGTCCATTCCAAATTGTTTGTTCCAAATATACCTCTTAACTGAGACTAGGGCAGTATTAAGGCAACAGCTGCTATTCACATTTTTGTCTTTTTAAAGAGGTTCCTTTATTTCATATCAGGCTGCTTTGCCTATTTCCTGGAAGTGTAGCACAATGCCATATTTTCTGAAGGCGGGCTGGACAATTCCCTTGAAATCGTCCTTTGGTTTTATCTGTTTTGTTTTAGTGACTTTAATGAAGATCCATGTCAAAGGCTAATTTGTGGAAAAATAGTATTCATACTATACACCACACATAAAAAGACCAAATCTAAAGCTTACTAACTCCTCAAGGACACCTGAAATCGACACATTCAGCACTTCATCCTGTACAAAAGCTGAGATTTCCAAGGACGTAGACAGTGAAGGTAAGAGCTAATTCCTAATATAAAGTGAAAATATCTTGTGAATTTTAAACTGGAGTGCTAATTTAAACTACCAAACCATGTGCTTTACAAAATACCTTTCAAAGTTTATGACCTAAATAAGAAGTCTTGCATCGATTTAAATTTAATAGAATTTTTTAGATAATTTATTCTAGGAGTTAAACATGCTTCTTTATAGAAATATGAACAATTAGACACTGAGGACATGAATCGCTGATCTGGATTTTGTCTGCAAATGCACTACCTTTCTCCTACTGTTTTCCAGTGCGGCACTTTGACACTTAGGAGCCGATGTATGAAGGCAGAGTATCTCCTAAAGGCCACTGCTTTGGCTACAGCGCTCTCAAGTAGTGGCAATCTCATCTCCAGGAGCCCTTATACCACTGCTTGTAAGCATGGGGTAGGTGGTCTCCTTGCTCCTTTGTTGCTACTTCCAACCATTCTCTCCTCCAGCTTTGAATCAAATATCATCCGATTCTATCACCCATTATCCCTCCCCATTAAAGTCCTGTGCTGACCCCTGTCACTCTTTTCTTTCTTGGTAATTTTAATTCTTGTCTTTGACTCTCTAACATCTTTTAATCCTTGGTATTTTCAACATATACACACATAATCCTTCAAATAACCTGGCCTTGAATGTATGCCCTTCAGTCCTTTAACTTCATCGATCTCAGTCCCTCCCATATCCATTCTCTTGTCCTTGTTTCTGCCAATACGAGTAACATCTTTCAAATCTCAATTTCAAGTATCCCACTATGAACACCAACTTCTATCTTTCTAGCTCATACCCTGTAGTATTACAGCTCTAACAATCCTTTGGCTCCATCTAGATTTATAATCTGAGCCCCTCAACTCCCCGTTACATTCTCTCCTTCACTATCTTAAATTCCATGGTCAATCACTACAAACACTCACTATACACACTCTCAGCTCCTTTGTACCTTTCCTGTTTAGTCACAGTTGCATGCTTAGACCAAAATCCTGATTAAATGTAGTTTTCTTACTGCATGCCTGCACCCATGCAGCCAAGCATGGCCTAAGGAAGACACACAACCACCTTGACCCATCTCACCGAAAGCTTACGTGAGCCCTTATTGCTGCATGAAAGTGAGACTACTTTTCCACAATACATGCACCCTCTCACTTTTCCTAGATGACTATTTCATGTCCTCTCCTCTCCTCAACCAATTCACTCTCCCATTCTCACTCTCAGCTCATGATCTTGTTTTCTAATTCACTGAGATATTTGAAGGCGTTGGAAGAAAAGTTCCACAACCTTCCAACATCCCATCTACCTACTTATCAAAATGTTTCTCCTCTCTCTCTGTTCCTCTGCCTTTTCCTTCTGTTACCTACCTTGATAATATTTACATTAAAGATAGATAATTCTTTGTTATTGGGGCTGTCCTATGCATTGTAGGATGTTTATCAGCAACCGTGGTCTCTGCCTACTAGATGCACACCCCCAGCTGTGAAAACCAAAATTGTCTCGGCATTACCAAATATCCTCTGTGGCAAAATCACCTCTAGTTGAGAACCACTGCTAAAGATGAACTTGTCCCTGCTCTTAGCCATTTGTGTATTAAAATTCATCATCTCTTGCCTACACAAGTACATGATTCTAATGATCCCTTCCCCCTACCATTTCTCTCATATCAATTTTCTCTTCTGATTCAGTTCCCTCAATAAAAGACATGATACTTCCAACTTACAGAAACAAATAAGCAAATCCTCTCTTGGCCCAAATTTTCCCCAGCTACCCCCTCATTTGCTATACCACATTACACCAAGGTCTTAAAGGACTTGTTGGTGTTTACTGTCAACAATTCCTCATCTCCCATTATTTCTTAAACCAACTCCAGGCAGGCTTTTGCCCCACTATTCCACTGAAACTAATTATCAAGTTTACTACTGCCTCCATACTGCTAAACCCAATGCTCAGCCTTTGGTTTATTTGATAAAATAGAATTTAATATAGTTTATCTTACCTTATTTCTTTGTTTACTTGGTTCCCAAGATACCATATTCTCCAGATTTTCCTACTACATTATGGCTATGTACAAACCACAGGAGAGTGCAGATAATGACAAATTGAGAAAATGTGTGAGTATAGATTCATTGTGTGGAGAAGCTAAGGTAATGACCTTAAATTTGAAAATCAACCATGCTAATGGATATTATGGCTAAGATTCTTTCTCTTGCAAATATCTAAGCACAATCCAACCTGTGTATTGTCACTGTGTATTTACTCCTGTATCCATATGTCTTATAACAGCACTGGTAAATTAATGGTGCTCAAAAAATCTTTGTTGAAAAAAGAAATCTGATTTTGAATGAATTATCAACCTGGGATTTTGTTACATAATTCTCCTGCAAACTTTTTTTAGAAACTGCTCCCTATCTCCCGTTAGTGGCATGCGTATTATTTACTGAATGATTAAGTGATAAAAATGCGTCCTACTCACAACAACTCCCCATAAAGCACATCCTGCTTTGTAAGTTACAGGTTCATATATCCCAAAGACTCCTTTAACCTGTCCTATATACAAATCCAATAGGAAATACCACATGAGCATATGAAAGCTGCCAATCAAAATCTGGATAGCCTGTGAAAAAAGAATACTATTAGTAATGACATCATGTAATTTATAACACAATTCCAATAACTGTTAACTATAAAAAACATTCAACACTTTTACAAAAGATAAAAGTAAAATATAGCAGTACACTCAACTATGCATTTCTTGGATTGGTTCACCCAAAAAGAAAGCCCTAACCAGGAAGTACTGAGGTTCATCAAATAGGAATCAGCCATACTTAGAGCACCAGATTGTCCCATAATAATTCTGGCCAATTCCCCCAGAGGAAAGTTGACAATCTGACTCTATTACTGGCTATTTTCCTTATCTACCAAGTAATGGCATGAGAGGGGAATACTGAGGGTACTTGGGAGAAAATGTGGTTACTAATCTACTTGGATGCGGGTAGCCACATAGCCAATATTTTCTTGTTCATTAATAATTTATTAAGGATGAATCACTTTGAATCTTATAAAGATTTGATATATCTTTTCCTTCAAGGCATACTTGGCATGGATCTTTTTCACAAGCATGCTGGGGTGAACTACAGAGAGATACAAAGACTATCCAAAGTAGACTTGCTTGCATAGGTCTTCCTATTGAATAAAGGATGGGTTAGGTTAGGGGAGGATTATTTCTCAACTTTAATTTGAAAGAATATAACTATAATCTAGGTAAATAAGTCCCAGTAAATTTATTTCTAAATTTACATGTAAACTAATATTTCATATTCTGAATCACATTTTTAATTATCTTTAAAAATTTCAGAGGGTACATCATTTTCATTTTATATAAACTTTAATAGAAAGCTATTTAATATTTTAACTTTAATAGTTGTAGCTCTTTGTAAAGCAAGTAGTCTCTGAAACACATAAATGCAATTGGCTGGTATTAAAAATACATGTTAGAGAAGTGTATGTTTTCTTTGTACAGGAAGACCACTTCCAGGGGTAACAAACTCACGCATTTTTATAGATATAGAATTTAAGATTTCCTTTGCATCAAATTTGGAAGAATGGCATTATTTTTAGAGGTTCTTTGGATTTGGTTGGGAGAAAATCCTCTATTAGATCACAAAATTCTCAGGGACCTGGACTTTAGCTGTCTCACTATTGTCATCAGCCTCTAATATGGTGCCCAGTGCAGAGCAGGCACCCAGAAGTCACCTCTTGTATAAGCACATCAATATCAAGAACACAAACTCCACATGATTTTCCAACTGTTAAGAGGAGTGACTTGGATTTGAAAAATAATGTCTCCTTTTATATGACTGGCAATCATTCTACAGGGTGATCCCCCAAAATGTATACATACACTTTGAATAATTAAAAAGGCAGTGTTGATTAAAATACATTTCATTTTCAAAATTAAGCTATCAGCTGTTAAAGTGCGCATACATTTTTTGGGGATACTCTGTATATAAAACTATGAAATATCCACTTAGCCAAAGCTTGTAAAGAACTCTACAAGAAAGAAAGGCTGCTCGTGTGTGGAAGGGCAAGATGGGCTTTCTTATTTAAAAATGGTTCTTGGCCCTGACCAGGTAGCGCAGTTGGTTAGAGCATCATCCCCGTATACCAAGGTTGCAGGTTTGATCTCTGATCAGGGCACATACAAGAATCAACCAATGAATGCATAAATAAGTGGAACAACAAATCGATGTTTCTCTCCCCCCCCCCCTCTTTCTGAATCCTCACCTGAGGATATTTTTTCCATTGCTTTTCAGGGGGGGGGGGAGAGAGAGAGAGAAACACTGATGTGAGAGAGACGTCAATTGGTCGCCTCCCACATGCACCCTGACAGGGGCCTGGGATCAAGCTTGCAACCGAGGTACATGCTCTTGACCAGAATTGAACCCGAGACCCTTCAGTCCCCAGGCTGAGGCTCCAACCACTGAGCTAAACCAGCTAGAACTAAAATCAATACAATTTTTAAAAATGGTTCTTAATCTAAAGACAATGAATGGGTTCCAGGACATAGTCCTCCTCGAGGGGAAAAATGAGTGTGAAGGATTATGATATGTACATGAGTCTGAGAAGAAGATTCAGGGTTTTTCTTGCTATGTGTAAGGGGTCTGTGACTCCAAAGAGGTTAAGAACCAGTCAGGTGGGAGACTTAGACAGTTGGTCTATACAGTAGCCAAATTCAAAGGAAAAGTTCACATCCAGTAGAAAAATTTTTTTCCCCTTTAGATGTGAAAGAGCATGATCTTCATAATTCCTTGGTGTTTTTATTAAGAGAGCAGATAAACCCTCTGGTTATAGCTTAAGAGACAGATTAATAATCATCCTACTGCATAGATATCAATACATTAATTAAATGAGATCAGCAATACATCTCTTTCACAGTTAAAAAAACCACACTCTTTTTTTATTCCTATTTTGGATTTCATCTATTACCCTGTGTATGTTTATTTAGTCAGTGTGTTTATACCTAACAGATACTTGTTTATGAAGGGGCATGAGATCATTCCAAATCTGTAGAACACAATCAACATTAAAAACCCCCACAATTTTTACCCGTTTGACTTAACCAAATCTGATCCTTTCCAGATCCAAGAATATTTATTGAGTAGTGCATGACCCCAAATTTAGTCAAAGTGAAGTTGTACTTACCCCTAACACAAGTGTATCTGTTGCAGAGATTTTTGAACAGTCACATGAAGCCATACTACCAGCATTTCTTCTAGACGATTGTGTCTCTAATCTTTGGTGATATCTTTATTAGCAAACTTCTGAAAAACAATACAAAACACATATACACACTTTTGCTCAAAATAAAATACTTAAGTTTGATTCTTTCCTTATTACTTTGCAACCCTCCCCAAACTCAGATGCAACAGCTTTCTTTCTTCTTTCCATGCCTTCATTTTTTAGCGGCATCAACTTGCACCCACCCATTCCGAGTAAGAGTTGCCATAACTGGAAAGCCTCTGTGTGACTAAAAAATATTGGTATATTGCAGATATTTTCTGCGAGTAATAAACAGTGTCTCTGGATGATAAAGTAGAAAGAACATTTAGAAAACAGTGTTAGAAAATTTTCAGTAAAGCTTTTAACAACTCATTTGCAATTAAAAACCAATCCCATGCAATTCCTAACGGCATGTTTGGATTTTCAAAACAAAGTTCTTGTACTGAAGTTCATCATAGGCTTGTGATTTTTTTTTTCTGACACATACCTGGTACCTAGTTCCTCTTCCTATATGGAAGAACTTTTTCTTCCATTAGACAACTTATCGAAGTTGCCTCCACAATCCTAAAGGCTTCTATCTGCTGTTTTCTTCCCCTGTGTTCCTGCATTTCTCCCTGGTATTTAGATCATCTTTGTATTTACATTAAGATAAAAACCTGGCTAATAACTGTATCCCCTTAAGGGATTTTACCCGCTTGTGGGTGAGAAATTACACCGTTGTGCATCTTCTAATACATCAAATTTGGGTCAATAACATGAGCGATGCCACTTAGCTAGGTGATCATCTGCTGGGTGATCTTAAGACTTGAGCCTTCAGAAAGGAGGGAGTTTGACTAAATGACCTTTCATTCCCTGCACCCTTAAAATCTCATGACGTGATTATTTTAATGAGTCTTCAGTCTCTAAAACCGATTTCCTGAACGTTTCTGAATTCTATAAAGCATAGAGACAAAACCACAAAAACAAAACTAGGTAAGGACACAAGAGCTAGTGACAGAGAATAGAGAAAATAGTGTGTTACTAACTGAAATATAAGTAGTAAGCTTTATATATTCAAACACTACCTCTGAGAAATACCAAAGAAAGGGTATAGGCCTAAGGGCAACCAACATTAATCACTGGGCATGTGTAACTAAAAGGGATAAAATTACAGAATTTATATGGAGAGAGTAGTAAGAAAAAGCCATGTCTAGGTTGCTATTATTTCACTTTTCAGATAAACGGAAAATCATAAAAATAATAAGCCCTTTTGTGTGCATATATAAGTTCTCTTCACACTCACAGGTGATAGTGAAAGCAGCCAGGAGTGACTTGGGGCGCAGAGTATTTAGCATCACTACAATCTCTACCAGGCCCCCACCAAAAGCACCCAAAATGAGGTATTCATTAAAACACTAAGAAAAAAAGGGTGTGTGTGTGTGTTTAAAACCTTCAGTTTAATCAATGAAAGGAAGAAACTAAGAAATGTAACAATATATTCCTGGAATAAATGATGGTTAGAATTTTTAAAAAACACCAACCACCACCATACATTACACATGCGGTTACTGTACAACCCAGTTAAGTATCCCATTTTTGCATAAATTAAAAAAAAAAANCCGGCGCCTCCCGCCGCGGGAAGCTCACTCCTGACTTTCTGCCCCGGCTCCCCAGTCAGGTGAGCTCGCGGAAGGCAAGGGAGTCCGTGCTGTCAGCCTCTGGGGAGGGCGGGTCCCCAGGTCCCGTCTCCAGGCCCCCCTCCGGCTTTTAACACTTAAGAAATCTCATACACAAAGCGACTTCATTACCCCTCATTTTACTTGAAGGTCTCAAGGATCGAGCGTCTCCCTCTCAGGCGCAGGCCCAGCCCCAGCGTCTCCCTCTCAGGCCCAGCCCCAGCCCCAGCCCCAGGNCCCGGCCCTTACTGCCAACCCCCTAAGCTTGCCTCACAGACCCTGGGGCAGTCCCAGGGAGCTCATGTCTGGACACCTCTTGTCCACCCCGAGCACCTCTGGCAGGTCCCTGGGCGAGCTGCGCCCGGCCCACCCTCGGCCTCACCAGCTCC